CACCATGGATTTTATCACCAAGCTACTGAAGACCGTCAAGGGATTCGATGCTATATGGGTCATCGTGGATTAATTGGCCAATAGTGCCCACTTTTTGGCCATCCGGGAGAGCTACTCAGCCGAGAAATTGGCCGATGTGTATGTTCGGGAGATTATTTCTCGTCGTGGAGTTCCAGTTTCTATTGTGTCCGACCGAGATGTCCGGTTCACTTCCCGATTCTGGCAGAAGTTCCACGAGGAACTGGGTACGAGGCTATATTTCAGCACTATTTATCATCTACAGACCGACAGCCAGAGTGAGCGGACCATCCAGACACTTGAGGATATGTTGCGGGCTTGTGTCATAGTTTTTGGTGGGAGTTAGGATTCCTGCCTACCTCTTGCAGAGTTTTCCTACAACAACAACTAACACTTCAACATTGGTTCCCCGCTTTTTGAGCTCCTGTATGGTCGAAGATGTCGTACCCCAGTTTGTTGGGGGGAGGTTGGTCACAGAGTCATGGGAAGGACTGAGGTAGTCCTCCATACCATAGAGCTTATCCAACAGATTAGGTAGAGATTGCAGACCGCTCGGAGTCGGCAGAAGAGTTATGCCGACCGGCGCCGATCATAATTGGAGTTTCAGGTCGGCGATATGGTACTACAGAAGGTCTAACCCAGGAAGGGTGTGATACGCTTCAGGAAGAGGGGAAAATTGGGTCACCGGTATATTGGATCATTCCATGTGATCGCCAGGGTAGGCAGGGTGGCCTACCGGTTGGATTTGTCAAGTGAGCTCAGTCAGCTCCATAACATTTTCCATATCTCGTAGTTGTGGAAGTATGTATTGGACGATGAGGCAGTGGTCCCTTTGGATGATATTCAGGTCGATGAGTGCCTAGATTATATTGAGATGCTGGTAGTGATAGTGGAGAGAAAGATGAAGGTCCTGCACAACAAGGAGATACCTTTGGTAAAGGTTCAGTGGCAACATCGGAGAGGCTTCGAGTGGACTTGGGAGCCGGAGATGCGAGAGCATTATCTTGAGTTATACGCGGCAGCCGACTTCGAGGACGAATTCTAGTTCAAGTGGGGGAGAATTGTAACATCCCGATGATGAGGTATTTTCAATTTTAACCTTATGTATGAAAGAATGCTGCATTTTGACCCTTGGGCTAGAGAAAGATTGCAAGAATGGCCCATAGTGGCAATTTAGTAATTTTGGCCAAGAGATTAGTACGCTGAGCATACGTTGTGTACGCTAGGCGTACTGGGGCAAAGATTGTATTGCTTTGTGTTGTAAGTCAATAGACCGCGACATTCCAACTGAAAGATTGTGGGCCAGGGCATTCCAACTGGAAGGTTGTGGGCCGGGGGTAATCTAACCACGAGGTTGTGGACCCGTTATGTATTGGGCATTCAAACCGAAAGGTTGTGGGCCGAGACATTCCAACCGAGAGGTTGTGGGCCATGGTAATCCAACCAGGAGGTTGTGGACTCGTTATTTGTTTGATTATATGTTTGTGTGGTGGTACTTTGGGAGAATTCACTAAGCTTTGACTTATAGTTTTTAGTTGATGGTTTCAGGTACTTCAAAGGATCGTAGAAAGGCAAAGGCGTGATCGTACACAACTTCCTGATTTGTCACTGGATCTTATAGAAAAACTCTGATTTAAAATAATACTTTTGAAACAATGACTATTTTTGTAAACAATGATGATTAATGGTTGATTTTTTAAAATTTTAAATTATTGTTATTTTTTAGTGTTACATTCTAACCGATTCTCATATTCATGTAGAGCTATGATCCAGAGAAACACTAAAATATGGACTTGAAGAACCAAATATTGTTTTACCTACATATCTATAAAATTAGAAGTTATGAATTTTATTTCAATTTTGTTGAAGGTTATCTATATATAATGAGAAGAAACTTTTAATATGACAACCATATATATGTATTTGTCGAAAGCAATTGGGCTAATGTCATAAAAACCCTCAAGTTTTTAAGGTTTTGTCGGTTTTGCCCAAAGTTGAATTTTATGTCCGTTTTTACCCTAACATTTTCCAAAAAATGTTCGGTTTTACCCTTTACCGGTGATAACAGGTTACAATTATATTAACTTCGCAAAAAAAAAACCCTTAAGTTTATAGTTTTTTACGTTTTACCCTTAAGTTTATATTTTTTTTTACATTTTTACCCTTTGTATTTTCTTTTTCATATTATATGTATTCATGCAGAAAAATAATATATATATACGAAAAAATTTAATTAAATATTGTATTTACAAGTTTTTAATGTTATTTCTTCATATATATATATATATATATATATATATATATATATATGTGTGTGTGTGTGTGTGTGTGTGTGTGTGTGTGTGTGTGTGTGTGTGTGTGTGTGTGAGTTTTTTTCTTTGATAAACCTTTTAAGATGTAAAAAAACACAAATTAATATGTTTTTAGAACTACAAGTACATATTTTTATGTATTTAAAAATATACATATCAATAAAAAAACTTGTTGAATCATAAACATGTTTATATAAGTATATACATATATTTTTAGAAGTGTAAATATGTATTTTGATATATGTTTTTTTAAGTATAAATATATTTTTAGAAGTATAGATACATATTAATATATAAAAATGTAAAAATATGTATTTATACTTCTGAAAACTATATCTATAAAACACGTATTCATAATTCTAAAAATATTATTTATCTTTTTAAATTGTATAACCTTGCAAACACACACACACAAACACACACACACACAGCTATATATATATATATATATATATATATATATATATATATATAACATTAAAAAAATATAAATACAATATTTAATTAATCATTTTTTCGTATATAAATACGATTTTTCTGCATGAATACGTATATTATGAAAAAAAAAATACTTAGGGTAAAAGTGAAAAAAAAATTATAAACTTAAGGGTAAAAACGCAAAAATAGGGTAAACTTAAGGGTTTTTTTGCGAATTTAATATAATGGTAACCTGGAATACCTGTTATCACCGGTAAAGGGTAAAACCGAACATTTTTTCGAAAATGTTAGGGTAAAACGGACATAAAATTCAACTTTGGGTAAAACCGACAAAACCCTGAAAACTTGAGGGTTTTTATGACATTAACCAAAGCAATTTCCAATTTGACTTGCTGGTGGCCTGGAGTTCATGAGATAATTTAATATAAATTAATGATGGTTAAGTTTTTAATACAATACTAGTTTATAACCCGTGGGAACCACGGTTATAAATTTAATTAAACTTTTATAATAAAAAATTATAATTATTAATCAATTATTTTAAATAAGTCATTTTAAATAAATTATTAATTAATGGATAAATCAAAATTTTAAAGTTATTATAACTTCAAATTTAACATATAATTAGAAAATGTAAATTTAAATTTTGAAATGAGTTGTCTAATATATCTATATGACACATGTCATAATATTAAAGAGGAGTTGTATTAGAGTGACACTTGACAAAAGAAGATTAAAACTATTCATTTATTAGAACTTACATCGTAGATTTGGATAATATATAATTGAGAAATTGAGTAATATAATCCATATAAATGAAGTCTTTGAAAAAAACTCTTTTTTTTTTTTTTTTTTTTGTAAAATAACCATTTCGTCTAGAATAGGCCATTCCGGAGAGATATATGGAATACCAGAATAGGATTTCGGACAAGTGTTCCGGAATAATCAATTATTTATTTATTTATTTATTTATTTGTATAATACGTGTTTGGTGTTACTCTTTTTTGTTTTTTTTTTTCTGTATAATATTAGTTTTTATAAAATCTATATTGCCAAAGTAACAATGCATGAAATCTTAAAATCTACAAAATAGTTATTGACAAAACTAGAAACATGATTTCCCAACATGAACGGTTCGATTTCAAACCAAACCATAACGTTTTACATGTACTTTTACAATCAAAACTCACTACAAGATCCATATACTACTCTCGTATATGTACTCTCAAACGATTGAGGACTATGAACTAAGAACAACAAATTCTAACATACAAACCCTAAGCTGATGAATGACGATGGAAAGAGAACAAAGAGAACAAAAGGAAAATATCTATAACTGAATGACCTAAACGCTATATATATATATATATATATATATATATATATATATATATATATATATATATATATATATATATATATATATATATAATTTAAAAACTTAAAAAATACATCTCGAACACATCATATAACAATAAACAATTCAAAATTAATTTATTAGAGGGACAAATTCGATTCACTTAATTACCCTAATTACTCAAGACAAAATATTATAATTCTTTTTAAATAAAGATCTTTCAATTCTATGAGCAATCTTTCGATCATACTTCCGATCATGGAGTTCAATTTACCTAGATAGGATGAGAGGACATGTTACAATCAAGATCGATATTTTAAAAACCTTAATATTAACTATGAATAATTGAATTGTGATTACCAAGTACTTAATTATTTAGTGAAGCATGTGCTCAATGTGAATTAATTATATAATTTGATCCCTTGACCCAAAGCATGTTCATATTAGCGTTATTTATTCTTTCACGTTGTGTTCACGTCTTGAAATACTTATTGTTTCATGTAAATATATTATAAAGATAAAACTCACAAAAAATAAGGGAAAAAAACTTGGGGTTATACATCATTTTAACTTTTCATTCCACAAATATTATTTTATCTTTTAATCTAACATTTAGCACTCTATTTTTTTTTAATTATGTTCATTAAGTTTTAGTAAACTTTTTCTAAAAAATCGTAAAACGCGTTTTTAATATAATGTAAAAATATAATTTTATCAATATAAGTTAAAAAAACATGTAATGATGTACTTCACAGGAAATAATGTAAGAAGCAACGTCATTATGTAGGTCGTCATGATACGTAGATTTGTATGTATTCTTCCTATAAGTATCCCTCTTTGGAATCACATTCAATAATTGAACATCACTTTCTCCAATGTCTCGACCACAATCCCGCTCAGGGGTCAGGAAGATCGTGCGTTCTGCGGCAGAAGACGGGCAAAACCGTGGTGGTTCCGATTATACTAATGACAAACCACTATCGTTTCAACATGTGGCTCCAAGACCTCCGTCTTTGATCCAAGACATACAAGATCTTGCTGCTAACCCTCCTTCTCTTAACGCTGTCAATCCTCATCAATCAACTTCAGGTACTGAACATCTGAAACTTCATGATGGATCCATGACTAAGCCGCCGCCGTCGGCCGGAGCAATGACTCATGGTAACAGAAATTAATTGCTTGTAACCTCTGGATCTAAAGTTTATTTCCGAAATCTTAGTTGAAGGAGTTGTATGTGTTTATTTGAAGTATTTTTCCCCATATGTTGTGTGTGTGTGTGTGTTTTTTTTAGACCTGATTTCCTATCTCCCAATCACGTCAAGCATATAGAGAAGAGACACCAGGAACAAATTAATGTAGTAATTAGTAAGGAAGTCAAATAGTTGAAACTCCTATAATAAATCAACTGTCTTGAAGAATTTAGTATTCATAGAATTGTGTTTAAATTGGATTGAGTTTCAAATTATGAGTTGACTTTTCTGAAGAAGTCAAATTATGACTTTAAGTTTCAGTTAAATATTTTTGAATAGATATGAACGTAATTATGCAGTGGATGGTTTTATGAACGTTGTAGCATGCTTTAATTGGGGATGAAATCATGAAACGTAAAACAGTTGACTTTTGATCCCAAACCGTGAGTTATATCGATCCTATCTAAACATGTTTGGAATATGATGCTTATGGAAGTCAACGGATCATGTTTTGAGAATAAGAAAAGGTCAAAATGATTGTTGAACATCTGATTTTAGCAAATACTTGTTGTTCATCAAATTGGATACATACTTGTGAGGCGAATGAATTTTGGAAGAATAAAACATTTTTTTGAGCATGAAGAACCCAAAGAGATCCAACTCGAACTTTATCATGCACAAAACAAATATCAATCTCAACATTTTTTGTCAAATTCAATGGAAACTTGATTATTATTTGTGAACCGAAGAACATTAATCATGTTTTTAATTATAAGTGTTGTGTTAAGATGATGGGTCTTAGAAGTGGGGTTAAGGTAACCATTGCCAACAACTACACTATATTATAGGAATTTTGACTTAATTACCATCAAAGTCTAGACTTTGATTCTATTTAGTTGATCATGCTAAATTAGACGTTGAACTCTCGTTTTTTGTTTGATTCTCTTAAAAACGTAAACAACACAAGATTTTCCCAACATCATCATTTCATTCACTATGAAACAAATGGTTTACTTATACAAATTACAACAAAAAAATCTCACTATAACAATCACTCACACTCAAACATATAACGAAAACAAGATTAGATCATAAGAACAAGTTCTTAATCACGAAACCCTAAGTACAATATTCTGAGAGAAAAGATAAGATAAAGTTGAATGACTGAATAATGAAAATATCTTCGCCTTCAACATTAAATACATTAAATAATGAAAATATCTTCGACTTCAACATTAAATACATCGGGTAGAACCAGATCACACAGAGCCCCATGGAGCACCCGAAAACCTGCGTGCTAACCCGACACACCTGAATAACTTACAACTTAACCCCCACAAAACAACACATTTACACAATATACCCAAAGCAAGAATTAATTTCAGTTTGAAATCATAAGAGTATATTTTCAATACCCCCACAAACCGAACATTAATTAAAATATTTATTATTTTTTAAAAACATCTATTAAACCAAGTCTATTAGAAATATATTCATGTTGAGCAGATCCAAGAGCTTTGGTTAAAACATCAACATTTTGATTTAAAGAATCAATTTTGTTAACTTTTAAAATACCATTTTCTACTTTTTCTCTAACAAAATGAAGATCTACCTCAAAATGTTTAGATTTCTCATGAAAAACAGGATTTAACACAAGTTTAATAGCAGATTCATTATCACAAAAAACATTTATTGGATTTAATCCAGTTATTCCCAAATCAAAAAGTAATTTTAAAATCCAAACGATTTGACAGGTTACAGAGCCTAAAGCTCTGTATTCAGACTCCGTAGAAGAACGAGAAACAGTACTCTGTTTCTTGCTTTTCCAGGATACAAGTGATCCTGCAAAGTAAACAAGATACCTTGTAACAGACCTTCTGCTGAATAGACATTTAGCCCAATCAGCATCTACAAAACCTACAAGACTAAGAGAATCATTATTAGTTAAATGAACTCCTTTTCTTGACTATCTTTTAAATATCTCAATAGTCTGAAAGCTATATTTAAATGTGACTTATAAGGCTTGTGCATATACTGACTCAAAATTTGAACTGCATATGAAATATCTAGACGAGTCATGGCCAAATAAATCAATTTACCAATTAATTTTTGAAATTTAGTAATATTTACCACATAATCAGAATTATCTAAATCACATTCCCTCTTAATAACAAGATTGGGTTCCAAAAGAGTCTTAACAGGTTTACAAGCCAACATTCCAAACTCATGAAACAATTCCAAATAATATTTCCTTTGATTAAGACAAATTCCTCTATCTGTTTTTATTACCTCAATTCCAAGAAATTACTTTAACTCTCCTAAATCTTTTATTAAAAATTGTGACTTTAAAAAATTCTTAACATTTTCCAATTCAACCTTGCAATTGCCAGTGATAATAATATCACCCACATAAACTAAAAGAATGACTATAATATTTTTACTTCTTTAACAAATGATGAGTAATCATTAATACTTTGTTTAAAACCAAATGAAGAAAGTGAACAACTCAATTTCTCATTCCACTTCCTGGGAGCTTGCTCAAGTCCATAAAGAGACTTAATTAATTTACAAACTCTGTTATCATTCTTAGAATGATATCCTTGAGGAAGTGCCATATAAACACTTTCAGATAAACACCATATAAAAAGGCATTGTTTATGTCAAGTTGATATAAGTGCCAAGGATGTTGAATAGCTGAAGACAGACAAATTCTAACAATAACAATTTTAGCAACAGGAGAGAAGGTCTCCTCATAATCTATCCCTTCTCTTTGATTGTACCCTTTAGCATCCAACCTAGCCTTATATCTTTCTATTTCTCCATTTGACTTATATTTAACTTTATAAATCCAACGACAACCAATGGCTTTTCTTCCTTTAGGAAGATTAGTGATTTCCCAAGTATTATTTCTATAAAGAGCTTCCATTTCCTCATTCATTGCTTTTATCTAGTTTGGATCTAAAGCAGCTTCACTATAACTTTTAGGTTCAATAGTTTTATTAAGACTAGCAACAAAACATAGATTTTCACTATTAAGAGTTGAATAGTTAATAGATCTTTCAATATCATATTTGTGGTTTCCTTCCACATCATAATCACTAAACCTAACTGGCATGTGAACATTACGTCCAACCCTAGTGACCCTAGAGGTCTGGCCATCATAAGGATTAGTATCAATTGAATCATTTTCCTCAGTCAAAGTAGAGGAACTTGCAAACATCACACCAGAAGAAGGCACATGTGCCTCACCAGTCTGGTTGCTGACATCAGAAGGACAAGTCTCATCCAAGTCCTGGTCTGCACTAGCACCATCCGACTGATGGACACTTCTCAAATTCCATAAACCAGTATTATCTAGAAGAGTACTAGAAAGCAATAAATCATCATAGGCAAAGAGATCACTTAAAGGGACATTAGATCTATCTGTCAAAGATGAAGACTTTAACTTGAAAGGAAACACTGATTCGTAAATTTTTATATCCCTGGAAACAAAAACAAGATTTGAATCAAGACTCAGAACTTTATAGCCTTTTTTTATCAAAAGAATAACCAAGAAATATGCACTTATCAGCTCTTTCAAAAAACTTATCAGAATTATTCAACTTAGTTGCAAAACAAAAACAACCAAAAACCCCAAGTTTATAAAAAACAGGAGTATTATTATAGACAAGCTCATAAGGAGAAGCACCATTTAAAACAGATGTAGGAGTTCTATTAATCAAAAACACAGAAGTTAAAATTGCTTCTCCCTAGTATTTAAGAGGTAAACCAGATTGAAACATCAATGACCTAGCAACATTTAAAATATGTCTATGTTTCCTCTCCACAACTCCATTTTGTTGTGAAGTAGGAACAAAAGATGTTTGATGCAAAATACCTTTTGACTCCATTAATTGTCTCATTCTATAATTCAAAAACCTAGTTCCATTATTTGACCTAACAATTTTGATTTTAACCCCAAACTGATTAAGTAAAATATTAAAGAAAACAAGAACACAACCATAAACTTCATCTTTTGATTTTAACAGATAAACCCAAGTTGCTCTAGTGTAATCATCAACAATGGTCAAAAATACCTAAATCCTTCTATGGTTATCACTCTATAAGGTCCCCAAACATCTAGATGAACAAACTCACCAAGTTTGGTTGTAACATGTTGAATAACAGGAAAAGATTCTCTTGTTTGTTTAGCTTTATGACATATATCACGAGGTGGAAGAACTTCATTACTAAAGTTAAGTTTATTTTTTAAAGAACTCAAAGCTTGATAAGAGGGATAACCAACTCTGTTAGGCCAAGTTAATTTGGACACACAACAAATAGAAGTAGAGTTATTGACATTAGAAGAATTACCTGAAGGTACACTATTTATGTAATAGAGACCTCCAGATTCTCTATCATTCCTCACCATCTCCTTTGATTGTAAACCCTGAATTTTGCAACCATGTTCATTAAAAACAACCTCACAATTACTGTCTTTACAGACTTTGTGAACAGACAAGAAGTTGACATTAAAATCAGGAACAACAAAAACATCAAGCAAAGTTATAGAATTAGATAAATTCATATTGCCAATTTTCTCAATTTTAGTTGAAGTACCATTTGGATGACTAACAAGAAGATCAAGCTTAGTCACATCCGCAGTGTCATGAAGAAGGGACTCAGAAGCAATCATATGTTGATTAGCTCTTGAGTCAACAATCCATTTTTGAAAATTAACAGATGAATTAAAGACTTGATACAAGCAAGTACCTGCCATATTAGCACTAGCAGATGCTTCCTCATTAACTTGCCTATCACCAATAAGTTGTAAAAATTTGATGTATTGTTCCTTAGTGAGCTGATGCAACTCAGAATCTCCAATAGAATCAAAAATATTAGAAGTAATTGTACTTCCTGAGGTAGTGGTAAAAGAATTGGCAGAAAAATTCTTATTAAAAGTATTTTGGCTATTAGACTTAGTCCTTGGCTTGAAGTCCTTAGGATAACTAATTAGTTTGTAACACTTTTCTATAGTATGACTTTTAATTCCACAATTCTTACACTCAGCAGATTGATTTTTATTTTAATTAAAATTATTAGAGCTCGATCTGTTATTAAACCTTCTGTTGTAAGCAGTAGACTGAGATTTAGACAAAGACTGAGAAGACTGAAGAGGAGACAAGGAACCATTTCTTTGAAGAGATTCTTCCCTTGAAACAATAGAGAAAGCATTTTTTACATTAAGTAAGGGTTCCATAAGTAAGATATGACTTTTGACATGAGTATAAGATTCATCAAGTCCAGATAGAAACTGCATTAGTTTCATGAGATTAGAATGATGTTTGAGTTTAATAGAAGCCTCACAAGTACACTCAGTCAAACTAGTAAGACCGTCAAATTCTTTCCATAAAGAATCAAGTT